GGGTCTTCATATTTGTGGATCTTCTGGATCTCTCACTAGTGGTTGGCAGCTTCCACCCCCTTCAGCTGTGGAGTATGGCAAGTAGGTGTCTGCCAATGGTGGCCAGCACAGGTGTAGTCCCCAGGCCAATCTGCTTTCCATCCTTCAGGGTAGCATAGTGGCTCCATCAGGACGCTTTAACTTCTGTCCCAGAACCTCTGCAGTTGGGGTTCCCATTGAGATGGGTATAACGCTGTGGTTAGGCTTCTCTTTATGATGTCATTTACCTGCTCATGTCTGGCAATACTGTCCCTTCTGCTGTTTGACAACAGACGAGACCATTGATCAGCTGTCGCCCTGCGCAAAATACACCTATGTTCCGTGAGGATGGGGACGCTAAACGAAGTGGAGCAACACCAATCCGAATGGGCTGTTGGTCGAGTTGAGTGCCAAGGGAGGAATTGGAACAGCTAGAAGGAAATCTGATGTGTGGGCCCTTCACAGCCAGGAGACGAGCTTTTGTCTTTTCCTGACGCGTTGGTACATTGTGTTGGCGATTTTTTTCCATTATCGGTTTGTCCCCAGTGGGGACTGTGCTCTTTGGGAGGAGTTGGTATACTGGAGGAGTCTGCAAGGGTGTCCCAACCGCAATCACTGCTTTCAGTTGAAACCTGGGGTCTTAGCTCCTACCATGTCTCCAAACATTTGGGGACAATCTTCTTGGATAGTGCACTGGAAGCCAAACACGAAGACAGAAAAAGTAGGTAAAAGCATCATGTGTTGCTTTGCGCACCCCTATAACCTCCCAGTCGCACTGGAGGGTTTGCCTGAATCCCATTGCTGATCCTCTAGTGTCGGTTTCAGGGGGCCTTATTAATCTTCTTCAGGGTCCAACATGCCCTCCGAGACTTTTCTCAGGGTCCCCCAAATTAAAAAAAAAAAAAAATTTTCTTATGGAGAAGAATAGAAGAATCATTTTCCCGATCAGATGACGACCAAAGTAATGAAATTTGAATGAACTTACGGAATTTTGCTCTTGTGAAGTTAGCGGGCTCGATGATGGTTAACACATTGGTGATTTTGCCCACTTTGGACTCTATTTTTTGGCCAATTCACAATGTAATAGTCGACAAAAATCATAACTAATTTTGCTAGAACATGGTCCATTTTTTTCCTATCGAATGAGTACACGAAACCACCAATTTACCGATTTCAAACTATCCAAATACAGTGGTCAGAGATTTTAAGCAATTTGCCAATTTCACACAAATTTCAAAAGAATGCCAGTTTCCAAATGGGGTTCAGAATAAACGAAGAAAGACATTCCTGGCACTAAATTAACATTCCTCTGTTCATTAGTCACGTCCCCACGCCCCTCTTACATTCTTTTGCTTTCCAATTTGAATTTTTCACACAAAAAATAGAAGATTTACTGTTATGCAGACTACTGCATTAGGTAGAAAATGGTGATAAATATTTATCGCGCACTTGTTGAAAAGAATATATAGACTCACCAGTTGACGTGTATTGGGACGCTTATGCATGATTTGTTTACTTTTAGAACTTTGGTGAAAAATCAACATTTCTGAGCTAATTTAGCTCAATTCAAGTACTTTTCATGGTAAAACCATTCAAATCATCTCAATTTCTGTAATATGTCGTCCACTATAAAATGAGACCAGGAAAGCTAGAATACAACAAAAATAACCATATATACGAAAATACAGTGCAAAGTCGGAGTTTTAATTAAAAACATGTTAGTTTTATTTTTTTCATACGCACAGTGTGCTGCAGGAATTTGTTTTAATACTGCACACACGACCACATAACCCAGTTCTTTCATATGTAGGACCTACCAGCTTCTGCTCATTAATTTGAAGGCGCTAGAATTTGAGTACTAAGTACGTCAGGACCCCCCTTTCTTTCCATTTCTTTCTTCTCTTTTTTTCCCTTTCTTTCTTCCTTTCTTTCTTTTCCTTTTCCTTTCTTATTCGGGGGTTTCCTTTCTTTTTTCTTTGTTTTCTTTCTTTTTTTCTTTTTCTTTCTTTTTCCTTTCTTTTCTTTCCTTTTTTCTTTTTCTTTCTTTTTTTTTTTTTCTTTATCTTTTTTTTTTTTTTTTTTTTTTTTTCTTTCCCTTGTTCTTTGTTCTTTTTTCTTTCTTTCCTTTCTTTCTTTCTTTTTCTTTCTTTCCTTTCCATTCTTTCTTTCCTTTCTTTTCTTTTCTTTCCCTTTCTTTCTTCTTTTTCCCTTGCTTTCTTATCCTTTTCTTTTCTTTCTTTCTTTCTTTTTTCCCTTCTTTCTTTCCCTTCTTCTTTCTCTTACCTTCTTTCCTTTCTCCCTTTCTTTACTTTCTTTTTCTTCTTTTTCCTTTCTTTTTCTTTCCTTGTCTTTCTTTGCCCCTTTCTTTTCTTTCCTTTCTTTCTTTTCCTTTCTTTTTTTACCTTTCTTTCTTTCTTTCTTTTCTCCTTTCTTTCTTTACCCTTTCTTCTTTCTCCTTTCTTTCTTTCCTTTTCTTTCTTTAGCCTTCTTTCTTTCCTTTCTTACTTTATGTTGTTCTTTCCTTTCTTTCTTTTTCCTTTCTTTTCCTTTCCTATCCTTCTTTCCTTTCTTCTTTCCTTTCTTTCCCTTTCTCTTCTCTTTCCTTTCTTTTCTTTCTTTTTTTCCTTTTCATTTTTTCCTTTCTTTCTTTCCTTTCTTTTTTTTTTCCTTTCTTTCCTTTCTTTCTTTCCCTCCTTTCTTTTCTTTTCTCTTTCTTTCCTTTCTTTCTTTCCTTTCCTTTCTTTCTTTCCTTTCTTTCTTTCCTTTCTTTCGTCTTTTCTTTCTTTCTTTTCCTTTCTTCTTTTCCCTTTCTTTCTTTCCTTTCTTTTCCTTCTTTCTTTCCTTTTCTTTCTTTCTTTTTTCCTTTCATTTCTTTGTTTTTCCTTTCTTTCTCTTTTCCTTTCTTTCTTTTCTTTCTTTCTTTCCTTTCTTCTATCCTTTCTTTCTTTACCCTTTCTTTCTTTTTCCTTTCTATCTTCCTTTCTTTTTCTTCTTTCCTTTCTTTCATTTTGTCCATTCTTACTTTCCTATGCTTACTTTCCATTCTGTCTTCCTTACTTTCAATCCTTTCTTCCTTCCTTTCATTCTTTTTCCCTTTCTTGGATCTTTTTTCTTTCCTATTACTTTCTTTTTCCTATTCTTTCGTTTCCTTTCATTCTATTCCTTTCTTTCTTCTAACGATTTACCTTTCAATCTTTTCCATACTTTCTTTTTCACATATCCAATTCTTTCATTCCTGTTCTTTGTCCATTTGTTTCCTTACTTTCCTTTCCTTTCTGTTCCTTTCTTTCCTTACCTTTCCTATTCTTATTCCTTTCTTCCTTTCCTTCCTTTCTTTCTTGGTAAGATGGGTAAGGATGGAAATATTGGAAAAGGGTGGAGGGGGGAATAGGTAGGGTATAAAAGGGTAAGATGGCCCAACCACTTTGGTGCAATTTAAAAAGTGTATGTGAAATATTAGAAAATTCTTGAAGGGGTATAATACTAACCATCGGAATCACATAGATTAACAATATATAGGTACATGACACTGAATTGGTAGTAGAATACAAGTTCCAATTGTTTTTTTTTTTTTTTTTTTTTTTTTTTTTTTTTTTTTTTTTTTTTTGTTTTTTTTTTTTTTTTTTGCGATTGCATAACGAATACGTCATGGACCCTGGTGCGTAAGCAGGTACTAGTACGGCCGGAAACCCTAAAGGGTTAAAGTTTGATCTCAGGTGTGCATCATATTAATCGAGAGTTTGGGCTGTCAAAAGAGGGGGCACACCTTAGAAGTAAACGAGTCTTGGCATAGTAAGACATCCTATGTGAGGAGATACAGAGCATCATGGGCATCAAGATGCTATTCTCGTCCTCCATTCTCACCTGGTCATTCAATTTTTCTTTGAGGACAGTGTCGATGGCTGGTGACTCAGCGGTGCTCCCAAAAGGTCACTGTTGGACGTAGTGGTTGTAGAGACTTTGGGAGGATAATTCGCACTGCATTGATTATTTTCTGGTTCGCTGATGATCTCTACTTGGAGGGGATGAGGAATTGAGTCCCCAGGTCTTCTCCCTATGTTTTTATTCACCAGTTGTAAGGTCCTCTACAGGACTCTTCAGTACCTGCCAGAGTGCCATCATCCTGTACCAGATGTTGAGCTCGCTGCATAGGCCAGGAAGTTAGTTGTCTTAATGCCAAGCAGAAAGAGAAGTGGAGCGAGTGGGTCCACCCTGCTGAACACCCTCTTGATGAGAGAATTTCATGTTCTCCAAACAAAAGAAATTGAAGGGTATGCTTTAGTCGGCTGAAATGAAGGGAAACTAGGCTTGGGAACCGATTCCAAACTGCGACAAGACAACATCTCTCTCCCCATAGTAAAAGGCATTCTAAAAATCAAATTTGAACGAATGGGGCATTGTCTTCTGGCAGTCCCCTGATGTAGGCCCTTATTTATTTTATTATTTATTGTTATTTATTCCTGAAAGCAAGTTTGAGAGCAGGGTTCCTCAAACTGAGAAATTTTAAAAAGAAAATCTAATTATGGGTTTTTAGGAAGATAAGTGGGATTGTATACAAGGGAAAGAGTTGATGCAAGAGGTGCAAATATATTTGAAAAATTATGCACCATGAATTTAATGAAATACTTGACTATCTTTAAATTCTGTAAAGTAATAATTTGTGAAGGGATTCAGAAACTGGTTAGCTGACTTGGAGCCCTGGAAGTGGAAAGTAACTGTACCTGCACTCTGAAGGAGGGGGCGGGGATATTTTGCAATTTACAGGGGGATTTGACTGTAGTATCAGCGTGCCTCAAGCAAGACAGTGATAGGGAATCAATGGTGAGGTGTTTTCATTTTCCTCCAAGTCACTCTTCCTTAAGTGGGAGGTGGCAGTGTGTTAAAAAAACAAAAAGTCAACATTAATTTGAGGATTAATGCTACATATTCAAAGTTTCTAGCAGTTAAGTTTTATTACATAACACTTTGTGCTCTTTGTACAGAGGTTGGTGCAGCAGATAGGAAATTTCTTCAAGGTGAAGTACTCCTACATCAGAAACACCCACAACACCAGGAGCTAGTGTGAGAAAATAGCCATGACGTTAGCGGGGCAAACGTTTCATTAGCACCATCGAGTCTGGCGTCTTCATCAGGCACGACAGTTACTCCACCCACGCTGGCACAACAACAACTCTTTTACAGAGTAGTTTTAAGACCTAAGCTAGAACAAGTTTAGGAATGTTGCCCACCTCCTTACCCTCGTCCTTACCCACCCCCGTTAAGTAGTAAGTGTTATCAATCCACCATCAAGGCAACCAATACCACAACCACCACCTCATTAGCAAGCAGCATCCCTGCCTTGGTGGTTCATGCGTCCATGGCAGTGCCACATCTTCTAAGCCTTCCATCTCCCGCCTCATGACACTCTCGAAATTTCGTTAAACAAGAGTGGAATAGACTTGGATACAGCAAAGACTGTCAACTTCCTAACAACAACTCTCATTCACATGAATTGAAAGGACTAATAGGAAATCACAGTTAGAACCACTTACAAATATCTGCAAAATAGTAATAAGATAGGTGGAGGTCCCCAAACACCAACACATTTCGGAGAACCAGATGGGATCGACATTAGAAAAGGTGAGTACCTCATTTGCCACATTTTCTGAATGTTATGGTGTATTGGAAGGCAGGTAATATCAAAATGCTTTCAATGCATTAATACTAGTTTTAAAATATTTTGGCTCCAAGGAGCAATTGTTTAGTTAATTAAATATAGTGACCAAGAAGCCTTGTTGCAGGCTATGCTATATGAATGCAAAATCATGCCTGTGTGAAACCTTCACTACCTCAAAACCATGTGAACACATAAAGGGGGTTCACTGTGCAAATTTTACAGTTGAAAGTAATCAACCATTTTCACGGAAAAAATTGTACATGTATCGTGTGTTTTTTGGTAGAGTATAACCCTTTTTCAGGGTCCGTCCCGTAGATCTACGGCTTTAAACGTCCAGGGTCAAACCGTGATCTACGCCATGACTCAGCTGCACTCTGATAAACTGTGATTGGTTACATTTGGGCCTAGATACGAGAGAATACATCTATGTGGTATGTGTGCACTCACATAAAACAGATGCTGCTCTAGCACCCTGTGTATAATGAGAGAAAAAAATGAAATCATGATTTTCGATTAAACATCAAACTTGCAGTGTTTTTTTTCGTATGTTTTTTATAGTTGTATTTGCGATTTCTTGGTCCTCATTTGATAGAATGGAAAAGAAATATTACAGAAATAGAGATGATTTTGATTGGTTTTTTTTATAGCATGTGGAAATGCTTGAAACTGAGCTCAAAGTAGCGGAAATGTTAAATTTTTGGCCGATATTCAAGAGTAAAAACAACGACCTCACACAAGTCAATACACGTCACTGGTGGGTCTAATATACTTTCACAAATATGTGATGATATTTTATACAATTATACAGTATTGCATAACAGTAAATCTTCTATTTTTTTGGTGTGAATAAAAATTCGTTATGGAATAAAAAAATCTCAAAATGGAATTTATTGTAAAGCCTCAAAACATAACTAATGAACAGAGGAAATGTTAGTTTAGTGCCAGGAATGCCTACATTGTTCATTTGGTCCCTATTTTGAAATTGGAAATTTTTTGGAACTTTGTTTAAATTTGGCCAAATTAACAAATTCCGATCACTTTATTTTGTAGTTGAAACATGACTTGGCGATTTCTTGTGCTCAATCGATAGAAAAAGTAATACAGTGAATATAGCCTAAGAATGTTGGTTGATTGGAATAAAGTAATTGGCCTAAAATGGGAGTCAAAGTCGCAAAATCCCGATTCGTAAATTTCGCTGACACATGTCAAAATTCGCGAGATGCATAACTTCGTCAATTTTCCTTTCCACCAAATTTACGTACTTTTGTTTTTAATTAACCTTCACAAAAAGATTCTCTATACGATTTCATAAGAAAAAATAAATTTTTTTTTTTAAATTCTTGGACACTGGTGCGTGACTCCAGATTTGGGCCTTGGACCAAAGGGTTAAACAAAATTTTCATATTGGAAGGGAGGAATTTTTTTTTTTATGATGCTTTTTCCCACCAAGGCAGGGTGACCCCAAAAAAAAAAAAAAAAAAAGATCACCATTATCCAACAATTACTCACATTCTTATATATCACTGTCATATACGCCAGTTTAGATGTCTGCTCTCCAAACAGGCCAATATCCCAAGACCCCTCCTTTACCCCCTTTGAACTGTTTCGGTCATAGTATATGTCTTACGAGCCACAGTTTTTTGACGTATATATACTCGTCAATTCTAGCGGCTTCAACAGGTCCTTATACGACAGTTTAGATGTCACTCCAAACAGCCAATATCCCAAACCCCTCCTTAACCCTTTGACTGTTTCGGTCATAGTAATATTTCTTACGGGCCACCGTTTTTGACATAAATAAAAAAAATACTCATAAATTTCTAGTGGCTTTCAATTTAAGCAAGCAATCGAGAAAGCTGGTAGGCCACATGGTGAAGAATGGGTCTGTGTGGTCAGTGTGCATCCATATCAAAAAAAAAATCCTGCAGCACCAGTGCATGAGAAAAAAAAAACTCCAACCTTTTTTTTTATTTTAATTAAAATGCCGAATTTGTGGTTCTATTTAGGGTTGAATGGAAAACATATTAAGAAAAGAGGAGATTTTTGATTTGTTTTGCTATGAAAAGAACTTGAAAGGTAAGCTCAAAGTTAGGGGGAAAATGTTTGCTTTTTGGCAGATGTTTTTAAAAGTAAACAGATGATGTTTTATTTTCCAATAAATGTCCAAGTAACCATCTAATATGCAGTCATGAATGGTTGAACATTATTTATACAATTATTATAAATTGCAGTAGTCTGCACAACAGCAATCTTCTATTGTCTTGTTTGAATAAAAATTCAAATAGATAGGCAAAGAGTAATATCCAGAGGGGGCCCTGGTGTTGAGAAATGGCTATTGCCGCTAAGTTTAAATATAGGGAAACTTGAACTTAGAAAGACAGCTACATCGCCTGCACAGCCGCCCCCTGCAGACGAGGTCTTGTGAGAAGCTGTCGAAGTCATCTCTCAAGTGCTGTATAAATGAGTTATAATTGTCTAAGATTATAAATTAACCCCTTAGGGGGTGTAATGTCAGCAATATTTGTCATTCACTGATTGCTGACAAACTTACTGTGTGGACTCAAAGTCCGCAGAACACCGGGGTTTGTGATAAGTGACTAACTCACGATTTTATTCTCAACTGCGGCAGTCAATATTAGCACATCACGAGTTAGAACACTTACACTGGGTATATGATCCTGACTCTAATTACGCCCGGAATATCCGTTGAGTTGATTGAAGAATAGTGTATTCTTGAAGAATGTCCGCACTAACACTCTGTTGGAACTCGCAACACCGTTACACTGTTCATCAATAATTGGTTCACACAATATCACTGAAGAAAGCTGATCACACATCTCCTGTAAGTGTTTATTGTGTTTTGTGAGACACTTGTTCACACTACCGCACAGAATCGTTCTTTGTTGAGATATCCTGGCGTCAGTGGTCACTCTCAGTAGAGTCAAAAGTAATACTAAGATGCCCACAACGTCCCATGCCGTCACTGCCCTCCAGCACAAAGGAAAAGCTGACCTAGTACTGATTTTGCTTCCTTGTCACTTCCACGATGAAGCAAAGCAGAATGTTTAAATCTTGCATGTCTTATAGCATAGACAACAATGTCCATATCTTTACTATGGTAATAAAGTGGGAGCAGGATTTCCTTAATTGTCCCGAGCAAGGTAAGAGATGTACTGTTACTGTCCTCTTATAAAAAATACACTCTGCAATCAGCTGTGAACTGCAAGGAGCAAGCGTCGCTTGACCATGTCGCATACTCGTACTGCATCTGGGATCAATTACTCGCTGTAGCAGTAAACAAGATATTTGCCCCTTCTGAGAGGGCTGGGCCCCACAGGGCTGAAAGGGTCTGAAGGGGGGCTGATACCCCCCTCCTGGAGAAAATTTCTCCATGCCTGGAGACATGACCAATGAACAAAGAAAATGTTATTTTTGAGCCAGGAATGTCTGCATTGTTCATTCTGGACCCTATTTTGAAATTGTCATATTTTTTAATTTTTGTGAAATTGGCCAAATTCCAAATTTCTGACCACGTTATTGGGTAGTTGAAATCGGTAAATGAGCAGTTTCTTGTACTCAATCAATAGAAAAAATGGAGTTCTAAAGAAATAGCTGTGAGTTTGGTCGACTGGAACAATGGAATTAGCCAAAAATAGGGCTCAAAGTGGGGAAAATCGCCGATTCGTAAATATCGCCGAGGTCGCTAACTTCGCGAAAGTGTAATTCCATCAGTTTTTCATCAAATTTTCATCAAATTTGGTGTCATTACAATTGGGAAAAGATTCTCTCATTTCCTAAGAATTTTTTTTTTTCCCTGGAAATTTTGCGACACCTGGAGACATCTCAGGATTTGGGGTTGCGACAGTCAAGGGGTTAACAGCATTGAAGAGGCCAGTTTTTTTCCCCAAATAAATCTTGAAAATTTACCCAGCGTCTTGATGGCCGAAGGTTACACTGCTAATAGGCCTCAGCCTAAGCCTAGAAAAGTGTTTTGATACTAGACAGTATTCTAAGTTCTTGTATATTATCCAATTAATTACGTAAACTGTTTTGTATAAAATAACAAAAGAATCATAGGTAATCGTAAAAAAATCGTTGGCACTCAACGCCAGTCGGCTAATTCACCTGTTTACCATGAAAGCACCTGATAAAAGGTAAATATGAAATTTTTTAAAACTCATGAAAAAAACCCATCACAAATCAATATGCAGTCCTAGCCATAGACACATCTACTTGCATGCATTGAAACAATGAGCAGAAAGAGAACACGGCCAGTCAGCTAAATCAGTGGTAAACAAACTGAACGAACCATCAACACGTGTTTTTATATGTAATGCCTTCAAAATTTTGTCAGTCAGAATTGGGGGGCATCCTTGACACAGGAGCGTCTTGTTAGCCAAAAAGTACAG